ATGGCAAAAATTTGCCGTATGAAAAATGCCATAGGATATTCCTATGGGGTTTTGCCTATGGTAAAATTTTGCCATACACTTTCGCCATATAAAAAAATCTCATAGGATATTCCTATGGGGTTTTGCCATACGTATATGGGAAAAGTGTATGGCAAAATTTTACCATAGGCAAAACCCCATAGGAATATCCTATGTCATTTTTTTATGGCAAACCTATGGCAAATATTCCTAAGGGTCCTTAAAGAGAAATTGCCTTTTCATAAAAGAATTATTATATTGAATAAAGAAAATGTTATTTTTATTTGAGAGACAATTATGTAGCTTTTTTTGAGAGAAAAGAAGCAAAACCAATCAATTCGGCCTTTCATGTGTGCTAAACCTGTATTTTAATAACAATTTTGGTCAACTTTTTTCTTCTCTTTTTTAATTTTAGGAGAAATTAGAGTTTCAAATGCGACAACCGATGCTCCAGCCAAAGGAAATAATTTTGAAGCTGAAACTAAGAAATTAAATCTTCGAATTGAAACTCACAAAAAAGAGGCTACCCTTTTTGTAGGTTGTGAGAAATTGCCTCTTGAGTATTTAAGACGTTACGTTGCAATTGTAATAAAAATGGAGTAAATTATTTATTACTTTTAAAAGTTGTAGTATTCATTGTTTTAAATGCATTTTACAAACACATTTATCCTAAAGTTTCGGATTTCTTTGCATCAAAAGCCATCCAATGTAAAAAACAATGTCATTTGCTGACAACGCACTTCGTGTAACAAATCTTTCCGGACGTCGGACCAAATTATAATCTTAAATTAGTTTGAAAAGTTTTCAAAAAAGTATATTTATCATAATCAATTTGGCAGTCTTTAATAATATCTAAAGATAAATCATAAATTGCTGCAGTTTCAATTAACTGATCATTATTGCGTTCTAAAACCATTTTCTTTAGCTATAAAATGAGGTAAAACAATCTAACAGACACAATAATCTAGAAAAAATATGTGAATGTAAAATATTGAAAGTTAAGGCAGAATGAATCTTAATTTCAAGGAGTTGCGAATTTCAAGGATTTCAGGAGTTCGAGTGGAACTGACAAGGGAAACTAGGGAAGTGTGACTCGCCAATTTTGAAATAAACTAGTGGGATGTATGCCTTTTGAGGAATAATTTTAGGGGCAACATTTGTTTCGGCCCATAGAAGGTCCTATGACAGATAAAAATAATTCAATGTATAGAAAAATCGGTATTTTATTACTACAATGCAGATTATTAGTTATTGTAATTATCTCATACTCCAATTAATTTTGTGGTACTTTCACGTACTATATAATGCATATTTATTGTCAAATATTTAACTTTAGAAGTTGGCATCCTCCTATCTTGAAACATAGTTTAGAGAAGAGCAGCCATATAAAAAGAGACTACCCGTTTTAGGTCTGTGCTATTCCATATGGCGGCGCTATTCTAACCTATGCGTCAAGATTGGAGAATGCCAATTTTAAAAGTTGAATATTTCAAAAATTAGCTAGGATATCAGATATAAAAATAATTGCATGAATAATATTATAAAAATAGCAATGTTTTGACAAAGTATTGAACAATTCACAGGACATAGGTATCAACGGATTTTCCACCTTAAAGTGACAAATCATCTCAAATTTTGAGTATACAGTACAGTTGAGTTGATCTTTTATGAAATAAAAATCGAATTGAAATATTAAAAATTTTTTTAAGTTCAAATTTCCCGCCGAAAAAATTTTAAAATATTTTTAAAAATGCAATTTAATTTCAGGCAATCACATAAATTATTTCAGATTTTTTTGAAAGATCTAACAATATGAAAAATATTGATTTTTTTATAAATCACATTTTTGGATGTAACATAAGCTATACTCACAAAAAAATCCACCAGTTTGGGAGAATGCGCATTATATTTCGACTCTCATATAAATGAAATTTATCACTGTTCACTTGTTTTTATATTGGAGAATTAAAAAAAAAAAATTTTTTTTTTAAAAAATTGATGCCAAATTTTTTCTTAAAATTAACCTAACAGGTTTTTCTGAAAAACTACAGACATACAAAATTTTCGAAATAAATTTGGACAATAAATATGCATTATATAGTACATGAAAGTACTACAAAATTAATTGAAGTATGAGATAATTACAATAACTAATAATCTGCATTGTAGTAATAAAATACCGATTTTTCTTTACATTGAATTATTTTTTATCTGTTATAGGACCTTCTATGGACCGAAACGAATGTTGCCCCCTAAAATTATTCCTCATAAGGCATACACCCCTCTAGTTTATTTCAAAGTTGGCGAGTCACACTTCCCTAGTTTCCCTTGTGAGTCAAACCAGACCAACCTGTCATACATTAGTTTTCACTAGCAGGATAATCAAAAGTCAGCTTAATAAAATTAAAAGGTACAGAGCGCAAAATAATAAGCAGACCAGCCTGAATAACTTTTGATTAAATAATCGGATCTTCACATCCTAGGACTCAATCTTAATGGATTGAGGGGGTGACCTCAAATATAATATTTGATTAGTGCAGACAATAATCTAAGTTTAAAAAATAAAAAAAAAAACGTACTTTTTCTCAATAAACATACCTTTTTTTCAGGCGAATTCGAATTTCTGACCTCCAAAATATAACCGCAATAGTTTGGTCAGGAGCAGGATAGCGGTCCAAACTTTGGACCCCGTAATGTTATTTTACTTCTTGCCCATTTCACTATATCTCGTGAACATTTAAAGCGAATTGAAAACTCTTGCACACAATTATAGAATCCATTTATCCAAATGTAATTCCATATAAAATATAACTTTTAGTAAATATTAATTATTTTATTTAATAATAAACGAAGCAATTTTAAATTGTAAGATAAATAGTTTTTTTCTACATCATTTTGAAGAATGCAGTTTTAAATGGCAATATATGAAATTTGAGCAAAATTTGTCCAATATTTTCTAAGAAATCGAATTTTGAAAAGGTCGTAATTTAACAGGCACTTAGATCGACCTTGTTGAAATTTTGAATTTTGCCAAGTTAGAGCACATTTTTTTAAATGATTTAAAAAATTTTATACATTACAATTTAAAGTTTCTCGACTATTGTTAAATAAAATAATAAATAACTACTACGATTTATTTTTTGCATGGAATTATCTTTGGCTGAACAAACTTAATGATTGTGTGCAAATTTGCTTCAACTCGCTTAAAAATTTCAGGAGATACGATAAAATGCACAAGGAGTGAAATTAACGTTCAGGTGTCCAATATTTGGTCCACTTTTATATTTTAATATTTGGTCTACTCCCATATTTTAGGGGTCAGAAATCCAATTTCGTAACTTAAAATAACGTCTGTACTATTTAATTAGCATATTTGAGGTCACCTCTTCGAACCATGAAGATCGAGTCCTAGAACGTGTAAATACGATAATTAGATCAAAAGTTATTCAGGGTGGTTCGTTTACTTTTTTGCGTTCTGTACCTCAAAGAATTAGTTTGGTTGCCAGTTTTTTACCCTGATTTATAGCCTTTCATTTGGTATGTATTTGTGACAGTCGGAAGGGTTAATGGTCATTGGACGTAGATAATAGGAAGTCGTTAAAAATAATTATACATAATAGGATTGATTTACTTATTATATTTATTTATAAAATTTAATGTTAAAATTATACACAAATTTGAATAATATATCACATTAAGTACTTTTATTTAATACCATCGATCTTGAACTTGGTACAAAAAGTACTTAATATTAGTATCAGTTACTCTAATACACACGCACTTAACTTAATGTTTTCATCGGTAAAGTTCTCTGGATCGATAATTCACTCTAATAGTTTTTTGTCTTGGAAAAGAGTTTTTCAAGCTCAGAGATTTGTGATTTCAACACGGTGATAGTTTTACTCTATAGAGTAAAACTATCAAAAAGACAATATAGTCTTTTTGAATATTTAGTTGACAAAAGTTTTGATTCATTGTAAAATCTAGCCAGATCTTTCATTTGGAACTATGCTCATTTTTTTTTCCAGTTCCATATAGTTTCCTAACTTAATAATTTTTAATCTATTTGAAAACCAATAATGAAACAAAAATTCTTCCTTCTCCTATAATTGGAGATCGAAATGGGCTGCAGGTGGCGTTGAGCAGAACTCTTTTCCTATGGCAACACTTCACATGCTTTTCCCATTAGCGTGTGGAAAGTCATAGAGGAAGGAAGTACGTTAGTTTCTTTCTTGTAGATTAAAATATTTTAAGTTGGAAAACTATACGGAACTGAAAACTATATTAAACACAGTTCTAAAGAAAAGTATCATGGAAATTTTAAAAAAATATTTTTATTAAATAAAAAGGAAAAATATTAAGAAAAGGAGAAATATCGTAGTACATTCCTATACAACTGAAAAGAGGAGGAGAGGGAAGGGAGAAGGACTAAAGTCATGAAACTGGTCTCTCCCCAGATGGCGTATTCGCGTGTTGCGATCGCCAATTCTCCACATGCTAATGGTAAAAGAATGCGAAGTGTTGCTAGGTAGAGATTTCTGCTCTACGCTACCTGCAGCCCATTTCGATCGCCAATTGCTTATTCTGAAGCTCTAATGCGATATAATAAAATATTATTGGCGATNATTATATATAAAATTTTTGGGCTACAAAATGTTCGAATCCGCTACTTTTGGACCTCCCATTCGCTACTTTTTAATCGTAAGTTCTGGCAACACTGGGCGTAGAGCAGAACTCTCTACCTATGGCAGCACTTCGCATGCGTTCTCCATGAGTGTGTGGAGAGTCATAGAGGTAGGAAGTAAGTTAGTTTCTCTCTTGATTTTCATATAATTTAAAATATTTTAAGTTAGAAAATTACATGGAACTGAAAACTACATTAAACATAGTTCTACAGAAAAGCATCACGGAGATTTAAAAAAATATTTTTATTAAATAAAAAGGAAAATTATTTAAGAAAAGACTACTGAAAAGAGAAGGAGAGGGAAGGGAGAAGGACTAAAGGCATGAAACCGGTCTCTCCCCAGAAACGATGTCGTTTGTTGCAAAAAAGCAGATAAACCGAGAAAACTGCGTATGCGGTTGTCTTGCTATTAAACCGGGCAGTGTGTACTGCATGCGCGGTTTAGGCTTTCATGAATAAAGAAAAAAATGTTGTGACATTTTTTATATTATGTATGGGTATATCAGCTTTAAAATTAGACGTTAAGTACTGCTACATAATGCAAGGACAAAATCGGCTGGTTCACAACGTCGTAAGTCCGAAAAATGATACGATATTTTCGGTTTTTACTGTATAATCCATTGTTAACCAAAGATGGCAACGCATGTGAATTGATTGAATGAAAAAGAGTAAAAAAATCAAAGAGTAAAAAAAGAAAAGAAAAATAGAAGAAATGAAATACTGCAATAGTTGATTGAATTCAATTTGATTTTATATTGTAAGACCAGTTTAGAAATAAATTTTATATGCAATAAATTTGCTTGATCTTCCGTACTTTCGTAAAGGTATTTCTATTTCCTCTTTAATTACGTATTCTTATTTCGTGTGCGAAAATATTTTAGAAGAAACTAGTTTCATTGTTAATAGGAGCGGTGATGCAATTGTGGCATTTGGCAGGTTCACGCCGTATATATAAATATTCGTCATATTATTTTAGATTATTTAAGATCTTTGATTATATCTATAATTTTCTGTCTATAACAATTTATTATTAAAGAAGTGTCTTTTTATTAAAGTTTTGTCGTAAATATAAATAAAAATCCTCATGTCATCAAAAGGTGGTTAACCCTGTGATGCAATGTTCGACTTGAACTTATGTTGCTATTTAATTGCATATTGTACTTATTTAAGTTTGTTTATAACTGTAATGTAAAAAAATTTATGTGATTCTGTTTCTCGCTTTGGGGATTTAAAGCAAATTGATGACGTAACGTTTAAAATAATATGCGCATATTTTAAGTTTTTGTCTTCTCTTTAACGCTATATTAATTTTTTTTCCAATGTAATTCTATTTTTATTATATTTAAAGAATTAAACTTTAAAGTTATATCAAATTTATTTTTTGCATATTTCATTGAATGGTCCATAAATACATTTAATTTTACTTTTTCTAGGTTTATGACAATTGAATGTCTATGGAAAAATTTAATTAACCATGTATTATTTCAAAATGTTATATTATTAACACTGATTGTATTCAGCTGGTATGAACCATATGCTGGTTCCTAAAATTAAGATATCTCTAAGTTTGAAAATTTAAATCACAAATGTGTATGGTAAGTTTTTTAAAAAAATAATAAATTAGTTGTAGACTGTTACTGTTTCTTTTATTGATATATTATACTCAGTGTTATTTTTGCTCTTAATTTAGAAATTTTAGTATACCAATCCATAAATGATATGAATTTCATTTCTTGAAAGCAATTGTTTCATTTCGTTCTCTATGTAATCATTATTTCTTTTATTTTATCAAAATTGCTTAATATTAAATATTATTGTGTTTCCATTATGTGAAAGGCTTAGGTCTATATAATAAGCCACATTTTTCAACTGTCCAGGAAATAATTAAATTTTTTTTCATTATAAACTCTACAATTTTAATGTAGTCAATAATCTATATAATATGCTGTTCTTTGAGGAAATTCGAGAAACTTCTGAAGTGCTTTTTTGGAAATAATATTAAGGAACAGTTTGAATTTAAAAATGTCAGAGATAAAAAGTGTGGTTTTTCATTGTATTGCTCCAAGTGTTTCATTTTATACACATTTACTAAATATTTCACAATATGAAAAAAAGGAGCTAAGTATATTCCATTTATATTATTTTTTTAATAATAAATAGTAACCTCCAAAGTAATGCTAATTTGCTAGGCCATGTGAATCCCTAATAAGTTAAAAAAATGAAAAGTAAGTCTAGACTTCAATCTGCCTGAAATTGTGTAAAAAACAAAAGAAAATTTTTTAAGAAACTCTTTTGTAGAGAAATTGAAGACTATTATTTTTTCTACATTGCCTAATACAAACAGATTTTACGACCGTTATTCTGTATTTTCACATAAATCGCCTGTGCAAAAGCGCAAAAATCGTCAATTGCCTTCACAAAAATCATCACTGTGAATTCGATACTTTTAAAAGAATTTTAATTATCTTAGCAAAATTGAAATCTTCCCAGAAAAAATAAAATAATGGGATCTGTAAACCTTTATTAAATTTGTGTACCTTTTGCAGAAAAATAATTCCATATACGTGCATATTTATAAGTTCCATGAACATGTGCAAATTTAATGACCCAACCTATTTTTGTTCCTATTCACACGATTTAAGAATCACATATCACAACTTATGGGATTTGTTATGGGAACTTTTTGGATTTAGGGATACTGACAGATTTAACGTGCACCAGTCGCCACAGAGGTTCTTTTGACGATGGGGCTAGTGATCGCAAGAAGGGAGTGGTACAACGCCCTTCTTGCAAACACTAGCCCAACGCCCTACCTACCAGGCTGTTAAGATCCTTGTAAAATATATTTCGATGAATAAGATGAAACAAAAATTATTGAAAAATATTAATTATTAATAAGGAAGTTTCAGACTTATAATTCTCTGTAGGAGTTAAAATTTCTCTTCTGTCTGAAGGGGACCCTTAATACATATACTTTCATATTTATTGTACTGACAATTTCACAAATAAAAGAACTTTGGAGAATATTTTTCCTTATATACTTTTTAAAAGTCTTTGATCTTTCCTAAAATAAGGAAAATTTCTGCGGGGAAAGCATAAAAATTTTGTTCAATATTAAACTGATGATTTCTTCCCCTTTTTAACGAGTTTGCCTTTTTTTTCAAATTTTTTGAATTTGGTGATTTTGGTCCAGTTATTTAAAAATTTTTAAAGTGAGAGTATCATTTGATGAATGATTACTTTTGTAACAATACAAAATATATTAAATTCAACTAAAATAATTCCTTATTCCATCGTATCTTTTTATCTAATTAGATAATTTCATATTATAATTTAAACTGTATTATATTATATTAATGCTGTAAATAGTCTTGATTCAAACAACGTTATAAATATTTCATTATTTTTATTGAGCATTTGAAAAAAATATTTTTTTTTAAGGATAAGAGCATGAATTTATAATTATTGTGTTATTTTAATTAACAGAAATCTATTTTGTTAATATTTCTTTTAGAAGTATGATTTTTTCATCAACATTAAAAGTAGCAACAGTGACCTATTTCCAAAGAGATTATTTGAACTGTTAAAATGTTGCACATATAATTATGTGAAATCAGGGACAGTACATTTTATAAACATGTATTATGCATTAGTAAAACTGGAATTTCATTCAACTAAATTAAGAATTCCTCATTCCCAAAAATATATTATAAGCTCACCAGACCCTGGCGTTAAAAAAATACAAAATTAAACCCACAAATATTAAAATTTTACTCATTAAAGAAAGTTGTTTTTTATTATCAAAATAAATAAAATGTGTAACTTCTTTTTAGGTGAATGATTGTTGATGTCTTAGACGTGATGGCTCCGAGAAATTCAATTAAACGAGAAATGGATGACCTCTCCTCCGACTGTTCCTCCGACTCATTCCGAAAGTCGAGTAAGCGTGCCGGCTTAGACAAAGACAGTGAGGAATACAAGAAACGTCGTGAAAGAAACAATCTAGCCGTGAAGAAATCTCGCTCCAAAACGAAACTAAAAACACAGCAAACTGTGGAGCGTGTTAATCAGCTGAGAGAAGAGAATGAAATGTTGGAGGCTAAAATTAAAATATTGACTAAAGAATTGAGTTTTCTCAAAGATCTGTTCCTGGCTCACGCAGGCAGTGCTCACGGCCAGAACTTGACTGACGCAGAATTAAGTTATTTAAAGGATGAAGTAGACCACACCACCATTATTGCCAATGCCAACCATTCAAATGGATCTCTTTAAGTGTCATTCCTTTTTAAGCAATTCACTTCTTATTATTTAATATAGTTGGTTATCTACTTCTTCTCTGTGTGAGTTTTATGTATATGTATTACCATGGGCGTGCATAAGAAGAGCGTAACATTGAGATATTTTGTTTCCTAACTAATGTAAAAAGTAAGATAGTTTCTAAGGTATTGTCCCATTGAATTTTTTTTTTTAGATTTCTTATTAAAAAAAAGTTAAAGGGTTGCAAATTAACATTATTTTTTTTCTTCTAAATTTAATGAATATTAAGGTCAATTGCAATGAAAAATATGATGTAAAATACAACCCTTTATATACAAAGCTTTACTTGGAAGTACAAACAGAATATGGTAATGATAATTCTATATAAAACAGTATGCTTAATGAATAATATTTCATTATTCTTAAATTTAATGAAATCAACAATGCTTGAGTTATTGTAATGAGAAAAAATATGATTCATTTGAGAAGAATCATATATTTTTCAAATATTCTATTAATCCCACCAGTAACAACAGACATCATTAACAGATAGACTGTCTGTGCTTCCCTTACAGCTTGCCCGGTAAATCTAGTCGAAAAATAAATCTTGTGACATAGGCTATTGTATTCATGTAGGCTAGGTTAAAAGCATTAAAACTGGCTGGATACTAATTATTCCATTATTAAAACTGCTTTTCATTATACCTTCCATTCTTCAAACTGGTTTTGATACTTTTAATATTGTTTTTACTGTAATTGACCTTAATAATGATTCCTCAAATTATGATATTTTAAATTTTCCTCAAATATTTGTACTCAAAAATATTCTTTTGTGTTTATTTTTTGCAAGTATTCTAAAAACACACATTAAACATGGTGATAACAGGATTTTAACCAAATTAAATGTTGGTATATTAATATTTTGTTATAGTTACTTTCACTTTACATAATATTTTATATAAAAATTAATGTTTAAAAAGGAGTTCTTTGTTTATGCTAACCAAAACAAACTGAAAGAAAAACAACACATTTCAACACATTAATAACATATCTTTATTAATATATAAGTATTTGAATTTTGTACACATGCTATGAAAATTCAGCATGTTATCCTTAATCCTCTTTGAAAATATCTTATGCACGCCTTTGTGTCTGTATTAGTTTTCAACTGTAAGTCTTTTCTAGTGGCTTTAACGATACATTGTATACCACTAGAAATTACTCACCGGAAAAGATATTCATAGTTTTAACCTATTAGTTTAAATTTAGATAAAGGTTAAATGTTTTTAGAACTAAGTTGTGAAATCCATCTACCGTTTTAATTAATAATAAATGCTAATTTGTTTGAAAACGAAAATTTAAAAAAAATTCTTTTGCTTCATAGTTGAAATGGATGTAAGGCTGCTTTTTTTTTTTAACTCCCATTATTTCCCCCTCCATTTTCTTTTTGTTGGCAACTGCTGCACTTTCATCATTTCATCCTGCAGGTATTATTGTCCTAATGAAGGAATTAGATTGATTGAAGCATGTCACCGTTTCCCACTATGAAGCAAAGAGAGTTTATATTCTTTCAAGTATAGTTTTTGTTTCAGTTTTCTAGAGAATACCTATTCATTTCAATAAATACTAATGTATGCTTTGGTTACTGCTTCTGTTGCCTTATCAAATCACATTTTAGTGTGTTTGACTTACACGAGTCTATCTCGATCAGAATTTTTTACGTAATAAATAATCATTAAAAAAGCATAATGCCAAAACTGTTTGCTGTCTTTTAGCTGTTGTTTTTTTGCAGAGCAATTTACAATTTTAACTGCTCGATTTGTGGAAAAACCTGACAACTTTATTTCCCCACTGAAAACATCAACGAGTGGGAAATAAAAAGTTGCTCTACTAACTAAGCTGATTTCTGGTCGTTCCACAATATTTCTCCGAATGAATGCCATATTTTCTTAAAAATACTTTTCATTCATAAGTTTTTTTCTTCAAGATGCCAAACTCTCTATCAAAAGTGTTTAATTTTTGTCCTTTCCACCACATTTTGTCCAAAACAATGTCAGTTGTCCATAGTTTTTATCAATTATAATTTTTTTGATAAATATTTAAAAGCAAATATTTGTAGTTATTAAGGAAGGTATTGATCAAGGTTAAATAACTGCGAGATTATCCTTTTACGACCCAGTTATGAAACAGACATTTCTTACTCTAGCTGCCTAGAATTACACGGACATAATCTCAATCTGGTATTCTAGAATATTAAATTTCGTATTAGTATGTATACTCGAGGAGTGTGTAATTACTCGAGAGGAAAAAATTAAGTGAAAAATCCTTGAAATTTTTGTTTAGGATCCTATAAATAATCTCATTTAATGGCATAGAGAAGCAATTCTCATATCCTTTTTGAATGTAAAATATGCTTTTGTATTTGTCTTTAAAATATTTCAGTGTTAAAACTCCATAGTATGTACTTTTAAAGAATAGGAGAAAAAAAGTCTTTAATCTAAAAAGAAAAGCAGGTGGTGTTTCTTAACAATAGGAACAAATCTACTGTTAACTGGGAAAAAGTCTTTTCTTTTGCCTAGGAAGAAAAACTTCTCATGAACTGTGGATTATTTAACAAAATTTTTCTTAAACACAACCCTTTAAACTAAATAATGGCCTATAAAATAAAATTGAATGGTCTCTGAATTTTATTTGAAGCATTCAATCCTCAGTGGAGACACAGATTGATGGCTTATTAAAAATAAATGGCAGTTTTTATGTCTCGCAATTGTAGGCTGTTGAAGCGCTTTTTAATTAAACTCTAAAGTTGAGCAATTTGAAGTTAGTGTATTGTCCACTCTAAATAAAATGAACTACTACTATACTTCTGTAGAGTTAATCACATGATTGCACCCTCCAAATGACTCTACTAATGTGTAGACTTTCTGCACTTTGGTTATTCATTTCACTTATTGATACAAGAAAAAAACTTGCTATTTAGAAGGAAATGCAGAATAAATTTCTTTACTGACTTATTCATTCTTTCTATTTGTGAAAATAATTATTGATACGAAGTTAATCAGTCAAATATGTAGAGTTCACAGCAGCATATTACTGTATATTGGATATTTGTTCCTCTAAAAATGTTTTTAATTTTCATCCAATTTTTGTTGTTGATTTAATAATTCTTATTGATTAATAGTTGGCGCTCGAACCGCGTTTGAGCTTTAACTATTGATTAGTTTTAGTTTGATTATTTTTAGGCCTCTTATGCTACTAAAAAAAAATGTTTTTTTATAATAAATGTGGCAATTCAAGATTTTCAAAATGTTGAGTTCCCAATATTGAAGTACTGTGGAACGACTCTTTAAGTCATGAAAAATAGAAAAGTTTTTTCTTTCCGAATTGCTTTTCTCATATTCTTTACATTTTAACCACACTTGTGTTGCTTGTCAATGTAAGGTAATGTTGGTTAATGCATTTTTTGATTGGCTTAGTGTCATCTTTACTGTTTTAAATTTCTATTATGTATGATTTAACTTTTTTGTAATTAATTTAGTGATTATTTGTTTTGTTGTATAATTGTACTTTATTTTCATATATTTTTAATGCAAAATCTAAATTGAAAACTATTCTCAAAACATCTGCAAATGTACAATTTTAAATAATTTATATCAGGTGATTGTAAAAGTTTGTGCTATTTGGAACCTAAGAAAGTATAATTTATTTTCATAAAATTATTTATTTGTCAATTATTTATTTTTCATTATACGTATTTCTATTACTGTCACACTAATTAGCGCATTTTTGATTTAATTTTTGCATAGAAATTGCATGACTTTTCATCATTAAAGACAGTTCTGGTTTTTTCCACTTTCACAATATTTTTGTGATTAAAACTATTTTAAAGATAACAGAAGGTATAAAAATCTGAATTGACAGTGTTTGGGTGAAATTAATATTGGAGGATTTTTCTAATTTTTTTGCTTTGAGGAAACATTTTTGATTGGCAAAGTGTGGATGTTTTGCTTAAATTTCAACTTTTAAATCATCGGTTTTTCACTATTAATTGTTGGTGAGGTTCCTCTACAATTGCACCACTACATACGTTCAGCACTTTATTTATTTCTTAATGCAATTTAAATTTGACACAAACTATTGCTATCACCTAAAAAAAATATAACCTAATTTTTTTTAGAAATTTATCTANTATATATAATAAATTTTTTTCCTTATTTCTTCTTTTGTTATAAAAATATTAAAATTATAATTGTAATTGTATCTAACCTACATTTTCTCTTGATAGTTAAGTGTACTAGTTGTCATGTTTTTCATGTTCTATGTGTGTTAGAAAAGGTATACATTCTATCTATATGCACTTTCAGTAATTTCAATTTTAAACAAAAACTGGCTACATTGCTTATCTTAAAAAAATTTTTTTTAATGAAAATTTTAAAAATGTTAATCTTTGTAAAATTACTTACAGAGTAAAAACAAATTTTATGTAAGCAATTTGTATAACATAAAAAAATGAGTGACCTTAGACTTTTAAATTATAAAAATTTTTAGGCTGTGGAAATTTAATATTTTCTTGAAACTCTTGACAACATTTTACTGCCATATAAATATTTCCATTTTAAATAGAGTTGGAAATTCAACACTATTCATTGTTGAGTTTTAGATCAATTTCTATAGATCTTACTGAATGACAT